TGTGTGTGTGTGTGTGTGTGTGTGTGTGTGTGTGTGTATCTCCATGGTACCCATACCAGACGGAGCCATTGCCATGACAGCATGTTTGGGCAAAGCAGCAGCTGACCTGCTAACGTTTCATGGCCGGTTTCCAGACATCCCTGTCTGCTCAGCGTGTCGCTGTCGTCCTGAYGGGATTTCTGTTTGTCACAAAGAACTGAGTCCTCTGAACAATGGGATTTAACCCTGATTTTATATAGTAAAAATATGCTTTTTCTCATTTTTTAATTTGTAAATCGGTTAAATTGTGCTTCTTTTTTGTGTGACTCTTGTCCAGGTGCAGCATCGTGTAACGGGCCAGGTGATGGCTCTGAAGATGAACATCTTGGCCAGTAACAGAGCCAACATGCTCAGGGAGGTCCAGCTCATGAACAGACTGTCCCACCCCAACATACTCAGGTAATCAGCTGTCTGTGCAGCTGTTGACCAGGATATCCTCGTTTTTATATCAGTTCATATTACATCTTCACCGAGGGCCAGTTGAGCAATAACTCTGAGCTCTACATGGTATTTCCTGCATGGAAACAGCATTTTAACATGTCAACTCAGAAACACAGACAAGTACTAAATGCATGACTGAAAACGACTAAACAGAACTACTGTTAAAAATACAACCGTATTAAAGTAAAAGTAACAGTTGTCCTCACTGTTGATATGGTGAGTAGCTGCCGTCTTGAATTCTCTCACTTTCCAACAGGGAATTTCCACYKGAGGGGCGTTCCAGTTCAAATTTACAACTTGTAAGTGGGAAATTCCCACTTTCTGGTACAACTGCGCCACGACAAAAGTAACCGGCAAAAATTGTGATCAAATTAAGATTTTACACGAYGAATTTCGCTGGTCGCCGGCTATTTTGAGCCCTGTGCATTTCCACCTCGTGGTGGGAAGTCGTTGTTTTGTGGGTAAAACGACCAATATTATTGGAGATGTTTCGATCAAGTCTTTAAAAACTTTTAATTTGAGACGAGACATCTTTGAAGCTCTCGCRGGTCACATGAAATGCCACGGCAGGCCACGTTAGGCCCGTGGGCCWTGAMTTTGACATGGGATCCACGTAAGCCTTCTCAACAAGAATGTTTGTTTGTTTTTAAGTGAAAATCTACTAAAAACAACTCAAAGTCCGAGTTGAGAGCTGACTGTCATCGATTCTGTCCAAACAACAGAACAAACATCCTTTTAAAAGTGTTTATCTTCTCTTCCTGCAGGTTTATAGGAGTGTGTGTCCATGAGGGGCAGCTTCACGCCCTCACAGAGGTAAGATCCTGACACAACCGCTGCATTGGTGAAAATAGACTGCTCACTTTGCTCACTATGAGTTGCACCTGTCCATGCAAATCAGTATAAATGTAAATAATAATAACATGGAGCTAATCACAGAATAAACTGAAAMGAAACGATTCATTCAGCCTTATTAGCTGCAGTTTGTTTAAATTATWTGAAGTGAGGTTCTGTGGAAAGGGGCCATGAGTAATTATGTTATCTGTTGCTGATGACTTTTGGAACAACCTCAGTTTGAAGAAATCACTTTAATTCTGACTGGATTGAAAAACTAACAGCYAATCTGAGTGGGACTMAAATCAAAGTGTATTGCTGCTCTCTTTAAATGGCTCCAGTCTTTAAAGGGATCCCCGATTAGTTGTAACATTAGACTTAATTTAATAAACACACATTTTAACTGTAAAATTAATACTAAAATACTGTAGGATGTTTAGTTTTTATGATTTTTAAACTAAAAGTTTAAAAATATAGTACACGGACAGGGCCATTTTATTTACATGCAAAGCATTCTGGGTAAATGATGACACCAA